AAAAGATAAACCAACTCGCATCCATCACTATCGTGTGGTATCGATTAACTTGACGATCATCACATATTTGTTCTTATTTAACATTATTAAATGAATTGGCATTAATTGTTAAATCATTCTCTCCATGACGTCTCCACACATAATACCTGTGCACAAACCCATATCTAAGCAAATGATACTTAACGGTATTAGGGTTTTCATAACTACGATTTTGATTTTTTATTTATTTACATGGACATCGTATCTTATTTCCATCCATGCACCGTGAATGACTAACCACAAAATTAATAAATTCATTAATCCCTTCTACAAAACGCTCATTTAATAATCCATAAGTTAATCTAAAGTCAATGTAAGAGCGATCCGAATTCATTTTAAACAAAATAGTAATCAAGTAATTGTATTAATTATTTATGTAATTACTTAAAATACTTTTATTGCTAAATCTCAAATATTTTTCTCGTTACACACAATTTATTTTCTAAATAAACAAGCTAAGTTTAGAAAAAAATTTTAAATACAACTTAATTATTTATTTAATTACTAACAATTACAAATATTTCTAATCACTTTATTTTTTATCTATTTAATATTTATTTCATAATTGTTTTTTAGAAAAAAACTTAATTATTTATTTAATTACTAACAATTACAAATATTTCTAATCACTTTATTTTTTATCTATTTAATATTTATTTCATAAAATTTTTTAGAATATAAATTAATTATTTATTTAATTACTAACAATTACAAATATTTCTAATCACTTTATTTTTTATCTATTTGATATTTATTTCATAAAATGTTTTAAAAAATAACTTAATTATTTATTTAATTGGTAACGATTACAAATATTTCTAATCACTTTATTTTTTATCTATTTAATATTTATTGCAGAAAAAATTTTAAATACAACTTAATTATTTATTTATTACTAACAATTACAAATATTTCTAATCACTTTATTTTTTTATCTATTTAATATTTATTTCATAAATTTTTTTTAAAAAAACTTAATTATTTATTTAATTACTAACAATTACAAATATTTCTAATCACTTTATTTTTTATCTATTCAAAATAATTTCCAAAAAATGCTATATTTTTTTCTTAATTAATATTGTAATTACTTATCTATTTAAGTAAATGAACAACTAAATGTACAATCTTAATATTTAATCAACAAAATAACAATATATTACAATTTAATTAATATTTAATTTATTGATTTATTTTGTACTAACCTAACGCTTTAACTTAATGAACTAGGAATAAATAAACTTACTAATGTTTTCAATAAATTATGAATTACTTAAGTAAATTAACAATTAGTAGCTACACTAATAACAATAACAATAACAATTTAAATAACAACATAAAATAAAATATAACAATTATATTTTCTAACTAAAAAAATTAACAATAAATTAAAGTAAGTAAATTAACAATTAACAATCAAATTAATTCAATCAACAACTAAAATAAAAATAACACAAAATTAAAAAATTAACAATAATATTCAATTAATCAATAATTAACAACAACATTAACATAACAATTAACAATTAATATTAAATTAACAATTAAAAATTTCTATTAACTATTACAATTTACACTAAATTAACACACCAAATAAATTTTAATTAACTAATCAAGTTAAAAAAACACATGCAATGAACAATCAATTCAATAATTAAACTAACAATAATAAGTAATTAAACAAAAAATTAAAAAAAATCAAATTATTTGACTTAAATAAAAAACTAAAAAAATTAATAATTGAAAGGATAGATTAGATTTAGATGGACTCGTCACCAAGAGAAGGATGAGAGGGGGAGCTATCGCCAGTCAAAAAACCTCATCGGAGAATGGTCGTTGGAAAACGCCAGCTTCAACGGCAAAGAGAAAGATTGAAAGGAGGAGGAAAAGAGGGAAGACATATAGAGTTTTAAGGAAACAAAAGCTTTGAGGAAAGAGAGAAGAGTTTTGGAGAAAAAACAACCACAGCATCGTCACCGTTGGAGGAGAAGAAAGAAAAAATGCCCAAATTCCGTTCGACCGGTATTTATAACAAGGTAAAGTTTTTAGACCGTCGCTAAACGTAAATTCAAAATTAAATTTGATCGTTTCCCACCAACGGTTTACTTTTAGCGTCCGTGACCATCACTAATTTAACGTTTGCAACGATTATTTTTGCAACCGTTAAAACAATAAAAAATTAAATTACCAACGGTTTAATATATAAAACCGTTGCTAATCTTTGGTCGATCCGATTTTTGTAACGTTTTAGCGACAAGTCTAAAACGAATATTTTTGCAACGATTTACCAACACCAAACCGTTGCTAAACTTCGATCCGTTTTAGACCTCAACCATTTCGTAACGGATTAGCGATGGTTAGGGACCATTGCTAAATTGTATTTTATTTAGCAACGGTTTTTTTTTATAAAAAAATATTAAATAACATTTAACAATGGTTTTGACCGTTGCTAAGGTTTAGGAACAGTTTAGCGACGGTATAAACCGTCGCTAAATTTGCAACGATTTCTTATAAATGGAAACCGTCGCTAAAATGGTTGGCCTTTAACATTAGCAACGGATTTTGTAGATCGTCGCTAAAGAACGATCGCAAATCTTAATATTTGTAACCATTTTTTAGACCGTTGCTAAAGTCAGTAAAATCGTTGTTTATATTTGTTTTTAGCAGCGATTTTTTGACCGTCGCTAAATATCCGTCGCTAAAACATATCTTTCTTGTAGTGAGAGTCAATCGTTCCTCTCAATGCCCAACTATCGAAAGATGATGCAGGAGATGATGAGAACTAGATTTTTTGTTTTTTTTTTGAAAGGTTTTTAATGTTTTCGTGCACCTTAACACATTTATATATTTATTTGATTTCAATTTATATTATTTTAATTTTATTAAATAATATATCGCGTTTTAATAAGGTGTTATTTGTAGTTATTTGTTACTACCATTAACATTAAAAAACTACACACACACACACACACACGGATATATATAACAATTTCTTCATTTGGTGACAGATTAGTGATAAAAGCTAAATGTCTTTGCGATGGACATATATATGGTCTCTAAATAATGATGGATTTAACGATGGATTTGCGAGAAATTTTAACAAGTATAATTTAGCGATGGATATTCTATAGCGAGTTAGAGATGGAATTAACCAATTAACGATTGTTTTACGATAGATAACGGATCACAAAGATGACTCGTTTACTTTGCTTTAGCAATAAAAATTCTATACACGAGCGATGGTTTAGCGGTCGTTGATCAACGATTGAAAAAAAATATTACTAAGAAAATAGTGACGACCACATTTTCTATTGAAACATTTGCTACTGAAAGTATGTTATTGTAAATTCGTCGCTAAGGCTAAATAACAATGAATACTGACAATATAGTGATGAAAAAATCTATTGTTATTTTCTGGATGGAGAGACAACAAACATGTTCATCTATACTTGACACGATAACATTCTCGACAATAACATTCTTGACAATCAACAACAGTTGTCGATAGGAGTTTACGGTGAGAGGAATACCCTAGAACATATATTTTCTCCACAAACAACAACAAAAAATAAATTTTCTCCACTTAAAATCACTAACATGAATAAAAAGGCCCAAAAATTACCAAACCACAATAAGCAGGCGAACCAAAACATAACAAAAAAATACATACGACCCCATCAATCAAATCAATCACCTGACACAAAATTCCTAAGTAAAACACGCAACCCACATCACAAAATTAAAATTCCATCATTTCAAATCCAAAAAAATGAAACAAAATTAAAATTTGAGTTTCTATTGTTGGGAATTTTAAATTAAACACTTGAAAAACTTTAAAATTTCTATTTTTTAATATATTTTATTCGAAACAACCAATTAAAAGATAAATAAACTGTTTCAAATTAAAAATTAAACATTTAAATTATTATTATTATTATTATTATTTATATTTTTCAATAACAATTAACAAAACCCTCAAAACACTTAAAATATTTTTAGATTTTACTTGATACTAGATAAATGTAATGTTAATTCCAAAATTTTGTGGATTATATATATATTTATGTTTTAAAAATTTAAAATTGGGTATATATATATATATTGGAACTAGACAAGAGGTCGACAATTAATGTTGAAAATGCTGTAATTAATAGTATTATTACTATTATTATTACTACTACTCTAATTAAAGATCAAATTATTAATTGATCAAGACAAAAAAAAAAAACGAAAAGGTATAATTAAGATTCTTTCTTTGTCTGTCGTCCCTCCAAGATTCAAATAACTGAAGGATATTGATTTCCTAGCTCGTTTGTACTAATTATTGTATCAACTATAATTAAAATCCAAATTTATAACCGTTTTATGCTTCATTAGCTGCATCATCTATATATTATTATTCTTCTCATCTTCTTGCCCACCCCACCTCCTCATGCGTTCTGCTGTTTGTTCAACCTGCATTTTATTTTATTTAAATAAATAAAATATTTATTTATCTCTTTAAAAAATAATAAAAAAAAGGAGAACTTTTTTTGCCTCTTTTTTCCAGTTGGTTTTGTAGAGTACAATCAAAAGCAGCAAGGTCTGCAAAGCAGTTCCACCTAGCATCCCACCCCACACTCCCTAGAACATGCATGATAATATATATATATAATTAATTAACAATAATTGAATAACTAATTAATAACACACAGATATATATATATATATATATATATATATATCACGCACCTGAACTCCCAACTTTGCTTTGTATCCAAGAAGGTAACCAAGTGGTAGCCCAAAAACATAATAACAACCTATGTTGATGTAGGCCACTAATGCTTGCCACCCACCACCAATAGCAACACCTGTATTTATGTATAAATTAATGATGATTAAAAGGGAATTATCAATTTTACTCCACAATTAGTTAATCCACAATTAATAATGATAACCTATCTAGCTAGCTAGCAAGCTACTTAATTACCTGATATCACTGGCTGAACACTGTTAAGAACCATGGTGATACCAAGAATGAATGCTAGTTTAGAGGTAGCTACTCGCATCACTTCGCTGCTTGTGAAAAGGTAGGCAAAATAGTCCTTAGCTATCAACACAACAGCCATGCAAACCAGTCCAATCACCAGAGACTGAAATACAGTCACGTAGACCGAGTATTTCGCACCTCTTGGATGCCCCATTCCAAGCTCATTCGACACCCGAACGCTGAAATTAATATTCTGTTTATTAATTAATTAACATTCTTTATATATATATATATATATATATATATATATATGAAGGAAATCAATCAATCTATTACCTTATAGCAGCATTTATTCCCACGAACAACATTAGTTCAATCCCATTGATATTCATGCTGACCAAAGAATATATTAATTTGGAAAAAACAAGCACAAGTTAAAATCAATCTAATTTATTTAATCAATGTTGTTAATGCAGTGTGGATGAAGATGACTGACCAGATGGTAAGGGAACCAACAGCAACGACTGCGTTACTGAGATGCCCCGTGAGAATAACAATACTCATCATATACCAAATCTCCAGGCAAAGCATGACAGCTGAAGCAACTGAGAGGGTAAGAAAGGACCAAAGATCCTTAAATGCAGACAGACTAAATCCACGCCATCCTTCCTTACACCAACCCATCACGTACACAGCTTGAGCCAAAGCAACTGTCCACCCGGTCAGGTCCAAAGCGATTGCTGCGCCAGTGATACCCCAATCAAACTCATAGATGAAGAGCCAAAGCCACAAAACATGCAGAAGGAGAGCCCCAGCGGCAATGCATGCAAGTACTCCAACCTTGCGTTGGGCCTGAAGGAACTTTTGGGTTGGGAAATAGATAGCCAATGAAAAGAAGTTAGGTATGGTTAGCAGAGTGAATTTTCCAGCAAGATCAGAAAGATCAGCTTCTTGGCCAATGACTTTGAGTAGAGGAGTGGCGAAAATGTAAATGGGCAAGAGGATCACACAAGTGACGAGCAAGATGAGGCATGATCTTTGCATGTAAACACCAAGCATATGAACTTGACCAGCACCAAAAGCTTGACCACATAGGGTCTCCAGTGCACTCCCCATACCAAGGAGGAAACCGAAAGCGAAGGTACCGATGACAGAGAGGGAAACGGAAACGGCAGAGAGTTGCAGGTTTCCGAGATGGCCAACAAAGATAGAGGTTAAGGTGTTAAGACCATACTGACAGATGAGACTGAGGGCAATAGGACCAGCAATCTTCCATAACTTGACAGTCTCTTTCCAAAACAAAGACTTTAATCCTTTGAAGGTCTTGGAAGCTTCAGGCGGGTAGTCTTCTTGTTCCGACAGTGGTAATGCCGGTGAAGATGGTGATGGTGGTTCATTATTGCGCTGCAGTAGTGGTGTGGTCTCCATGCATCGAATATGAATCAGCCTGCAGCTTGGAGCTTAGAGTTTAGAAAGTAGAGTGACTACACAGTTAGGCAGAAACGAAACAATCAGGATATATACACACACAGAATGACGAGTGAAGATCAGTATTTGCCAAGCGGGCCTGAGCAAGCAGGAAGCAAAGCATGGTTAATAAGTTATGAACCTACGTGGTTGATTTGTATTCATACAATATACGGTGGTTGAGAACTGCTGGCACCACTCACTCAGTTAAGCGGTGGACGACCGGTCAAACCAGCTAGACAACTTTAGATGCGTGCTCCATAAATATCCTAAGAGAACTGCAGGAACCAGCCATCGGTTTAAGTCGTAACTAACATTCCATTCTACTAGGTCTAGGTCTAGGTCTAGCTGGATTTTGTATTCTCTTTTGAGTGTTCTTTTCCTTTCTTCTACTAAAATTTCCTCTCTTTTTTTTTTATACATTTTCATTTTCATTTTCATTTTAATTTTTAACGGGCAGCAAAAAGTCCTGCATCATGCTTATTGAAGTATTTTCTTTCTTCCTCAGGGGATGCACAATTGCATAACAATAGTGATTTTAAGGTATATTGGAACTTAATTTCTTGCATTTCTTAATTTGTGATCTGGTGGCTTTTATGATATACTCTACATTCAAGTTACTCATTTCTTATATTTTGAGCAGAAAATGCAAAAACTGTGGACGGAAGAAACTAAATTTACCTCTTTTAGGATAAACTTATCTTCTCTCACTTCTTGTATTAATTTGCAGTGTGGTATTTGCCATTTTTAGGGCTGCAAATCGGCAAGCATCATATTCATGGGTTGGACAAGGTATTCTTGTAAGTTTCGTTTATCGATAGTACATACAGACAAGGAATTAGTTTATTGATCACTTGTTATATTTTATGGAAATAACTTCAGTTGCTAAGTTTGATTAAAATCCTAGAAATACTTTTAGGTTGTCTCATGCAAGTTATAGCTACACATCTGGTTGATGTACTTGTTTTGTCCTCTGGATTATTTATTTGATGAAATCCATAATTAAATTTCTTTGCATAAAGCATGTGCACAAGTTGTTGTTTAGGACTATTGTGACGACCCCGGCTCCTTTACCTATTACCTAACAAGTGTGACCAGGCACGACACACTCGTTGGAACTAAGTCCCCTACTTTCTCCATCATACACAATAGAAACTAAACCATGGAAAATGTATGATATAATTTACAACATTATTATAAATAGTTCTATAATTTATAACATATTCAAAATGCCTAAAAATTTACAACCTAGATCCGTACCTCTTTTTAATGACATAAAAGATATTCCTATTTTTACGAGTGACGCATGAGCCTCTTTTAGCGAGAACCGATAGCATCCTTAATCGGCTTAACTTTGCCTTTGCCCGAACAACACACAAATACAATAACGGAATGAGCCAAAGCTCGGTAAGTAGGGTGATGCACGTGATATGCAATGCTATTGTGTTTTCCATATTTTCATCCATTTTAATCCGGTACCCTAGGTATATGCAAGCCCGTGCGCCCAATCTCTCGATGATCGTGTTATCACCTACTCGCTTTATTACTTTATCTCGGTGATCTCGGTATCACCTACCGCTCGCAACGAATTATCCCTTGTTGTAAGCACACGGTTAGCGGAATTATCCCTCGCTTAACCGTGTTAGTAAATAGAGCTCGCACTATGGATTCCTTGCTATTACCCAATCCACTCAATTCGGTTACCAAACCGTGTCAATTCAAGACTCAATGATTTTTCTCAATTTATTTTCACCCCCAATGCACATGATGCACGTGATGACATGTTTAATCACATTCAACCAAACTCGTGTATCAACCCTTCTTTCTTCGACCATACTCACGGTCCAACCATCACTCGGCATTCACTCGGTGCTCACATACCAACCATGGTACTCATAGCGGGAACACAACCTCCACTCATTAATATTGTTTATTAGTTTATTTAATAATTAAAGAAGGTCAAATTCTTTTTTTTTTTGTAATTCCTCTCCGAAAGAATAAATTTTCTTTAGAATTTTAAAATCCTTTTTATTTCTATCTAAGTCCACTTATTTTAGCCTAAGCCCATTTTCGTTAGTCTAAGTCCATCTACTTTAAAATCAAGCCTTTTGATTTTAGTCCAAGTCCATTACCAAGTTTATTTTATTTAAGTCCAAGCCCATTAACATTAATCCAAGCCCAAGTCGATTTGTTTTAATCTAAGTCCACTTTATTTTTAAATCCAAGCCCATTTATTTGAATCCAAGCCCAAGTCCATTTGTTTTAATCTAAGTCCACTTTATTTTTAAATCCAAGCCCATCTCATTTTAACTCAAGTCCAAGCCCATTAACATTAGTCTAAGCCCATTTATTTTAATCCAAGCCCAAGTTCATTTGTTTTAATCTAAGTCCACTTTATTTTTAAATCCAAGCCCATTTCATTTTAATTCAAGTCCAAGCCCATTAACATTAGTCCAAGCCCATTTATTTTAATCCAAGCCCAAGTCCATTTGTTTTAATCTAAGTCCACTTTATTTTTAAATCCAAGCCCATCTCATTTTAATTCAAGTTCAAGCCCATTAACATTAATCCAAGCCCATTTATTTTAGGTTAAAAATTTTTCAGCAGTGGCACACCTAAACAACCTATACCAAACCAGTCATAACTCCTTAAATATATATCTAAAACTCACGAAAGTTTAAAGGAAGATATTAGACATATATATCAACAACTTTCATTCTTTAAGTTTCCTCCAAAAATCAATCTAAAATCCTTAAATAAATCACACAAATTTCGGAACTAAATAATCTTTTCTAGTAGCTGGTCCATTCAACGATCCGTACCAAATTAGTCATAAATCCTTACATATAGATCTAAAAATCATGAAATTTTATATACATCTTGTAGACACATAGATGAACAACTGTCCTTCTTTAAGTTCTGTCCAAAAACCACTATATGATCCCAAAATAAATCACATAACTTTCGGAATGAAATATTTTTTTAGTAAATGATCCATTCGAACGATCCATACCAATTCAATCATAACTCCATATATATATATTTCTAAAAGTTACGAAATTTTAAAGAGACATAGTAGATACACATATCAACAACTTTCATTCTTTGTATGTTTCCTAAAAATTACTCTAAGATCTCGAAATAAATCACACCAAGTTCGGGTTTTTCCACCCCTAAAATCCGAAAATCTTCTCTTAAAGCACATTTCTCATCGCACATGTTTAACCAACTATCATCAAACATCAAGTGTTTAAAATCATCACAAATACCATAATCACATTTCACATGAATTAAATAACTCATAAAATAAATATGGAAAGCATAAACAAAGCAAGAAAAAAAAATAAAACTTACTTACTTTGGATTAACTTTCCTAAAATCTCTTTTGCTTCCTTATAATTTTTCTTTCTTTTTCCTTTCTTTTCCCCTTCTCTTCGTTCCCTTTTTTTCTCTTTCTCCCCTCTCTTTCACTCTTTCTTTCTTGGCTTTAAGGAAGCTACGGGATGCACCAAAAATGCATCCTTATCCCATCTTTTTTTACTTAAATATCTCACCTAATCTCATCCATTTAATGTTCATTACAAGTGTCAAGAGCTTGTGGTGAAATGCAAGATAAATGTGGCTGAAATTAATGAAATTATGGGTTTAAATTTCAAGGAGGAAGAGGTGATGGTCAATGAAAATTTGTAGAAGGTAGGGGCCAAAATGTGATTAAATAAGGATAATTAAATTAACTACATTTTCAGAATTCCTTCCGAAATTTCGACAATTAGCACTTTTTTTTTTTAAATTTATACTTATTCCATATAAAAGAAATTTTCTAACTAATTTACCCAACGTTTTTTTTTTATAAATATTGACGTACACTCGTTACTCTCAACAAATAAGTACATATCACATATTCCAAGTACATATGTTGACTCTGGATACGATTTTTATGTACGTAACCGATATATATATATATATATATATATATATATATATACACACACACGTATGAATATAAATATCTTGATACGTATACTTATACGATTACGAATTTTAACGATTACGAATTTTACGAGGGTTACAACTATTCTAATTATGTTATGGTTTTAAATATTTCTTTCCTGATCATGTAACCAAAACGATTTGGAGTTGAGATCTTACTCCTCATTTTCACCAGGGTTGATTTAGAATCTCTTGTGGTTTGGATTTTAGGATCATTGTAAATAGATGGTATCTTGCCCATAAACCTTGAAGCCATCATATTTTATTGTGTCTTTTGGCTGTGTTAGTCTTCTTACTATCAGCATGTGCTCAATTGCAACTGAGTATTCTTATCCGCAGACAGAGGAAGTGATAGAGTACTTAAAGGTTTATAATTTGTTGATTTATTTACTGGACCGTATTTCATATTCAGATTTGAATTATTATTATGCCTCAAGTATACTGTAAAATTTGTTAATGTTTTTATTTGATGCAGGATCTTAACAGGTTTGTTGTTGCTATTTTGTACCATACTGCCAGATGAGAGTGAGGGCAATAGGACCAGCAATATTCCATAACTTGACAATCTCTTTCCAAAACAAAGACTTGAAGCCTTTGAAGGTCTTAGAAGCTCCAGGCAGGTAGTCTTCTTGTTCCAACAGTGGTAATGCAGGTGAAGATGGTGATAGTGGTTCATTATTGCGCTGCAGTAGTGGTGTGGTCTCCATGCATGGAATATGAATCAGCCTGCAGCTGCAGGTTAAAGTGTAGAAAGTAGAGCAGCTATGTATGTATATATATATATATATATATATGGTTACACGCACGGACGTACGAGAAAAGATCTGTACTTTCTAAGTTGGGAATTACTAGATCCACTGGGAGGTCAAATTAAGTAATGAACGACCAGTCAAACGAGCTGGATGACTGCATGTGTTTTAAATAAATAAATATCCTATTATTCCTAGTCCTAGTTCTAGCCCTAATTAAGCAGTGCACTGTCTACAGTTACTAATCATTGGTGTAAGTCATAACTAACGTTCAATTCCACTGCGTAGAATTATTAGATATTTGTCATTATATTTTTATAACGACAAGAATGCCTTTTGAAAGAATTTATGTCTTAAAAAAAAATCATTTAAGAATGTCACATATTTTACATAAACACACAAACCAATAAAATAAAATAGTTACGTTGGCACTATATGCTACATGTGATTAAATAGAACTTGATCTATAACATAACATTAGCAACAATGAAAACCTAAAAGCATTTTAATCTAAAGATAAAATATTAGCAGCTTTAATTTGTTGTCTAAATTAAACATTTTCTCTTTTTGTCAAAAACAAGGAAGAGCGCATCAAGATTTACAAAGACAAACTACGTACAATTAAGCATCACTTGAATTCAGGGGAAGCTTACAATTATGCCAAGCACTTTTTAGGCATATGTTACGAGAGAGGTCAAGAGTTAAACAATCATGATCATTTCATAAACTTCCATCTATTTGGTAACTATCAGTTTAACAACCCTCTAATTATTTCGACAAGACAAACCTAAGAGTTGAGCTTGCATCAATCTTCACCAGCTATGATCACTCTTAATGTTTATCTGGTTGCTTGTTTTCCTTCTTTTTATCTACCTTCTCTTGACCCAAAAAACTTAAAAAGGCTTCCACCAAGTTCTTTTGGTTTACCCATCATATGGGAAAGCCTCAGCTTGCCTAAGTTCCATGCATAAAAACACCACAGAAGAATTGCTTTTGAATAGAGTAAGAAAATATGGCGTTATTTCGAAAATAAGCCTAATTGGGACCCTTGCACTATTCCTCCCATCGTAAGATAATCGGACAATAACAATGGATTTTAACGACAAACACCAATCCGTTATTAAATAATGAATAAATAGCGATCGAATAACATTTGTGGGATTTAGAGACGAAAAGAGAATATTTGATGACGGTTTATCGTGGATGAATAAAATTTTATCACTAATTGAGGTGCCAAAATCTTCCCGGTTGTTTTAGCGAAGGGTTTGGGGTGGAATGGCTATTGAAACAAATGGAAATCAACAATAGATCGTTATTTTTATCATTATTTTTAATATTTTGATTTAGCGACGGAAGATTCATCGTTAAAGTACAAAATCGACACTAATTCTAAAAAATCGATGGCAATTTAGAATTAAAAAGCCTCTTATTTAATGATGACTTAGCGATAAGCCCTTCGTCGATCGTTAAATAGTGACGGATTAGGGACGGAATCGCATTCTAAAAAAATTAGGTGACCTTTTGAAATTAAAAAGATGCCCACTTAACGATGATTTAGCAACATATACTTATGTCCATCGCTAAATAGAGATGGATCAAGCAACGGGATCACATCCATTGCTAGTTTGAATCTTTAATTAAATCCCCATTTCCCTTTCTTCTTCCTCAATTTTCTTCTTTGCTTCCTTCTTCTCCTCCAAGTGGTCGATCCTTCCTCTATCCAAAACCACCACAAAACTCTACTCCTCCACTTCCCATTAGTCCACACCCATGCCAAACCCTTCTCTCCCAAAAAACCTCGTTTTTCTTTCCTTCCTCTTGCGCGAATTAGGTAAGTTCTCTCTCTCTCTCTCTCTCTCACACACACACACATTTCTTAAAAGTTAGTTATTTTTCATAATTGTTAACTTAATTTTAAATTTAATTAGTTAATTTTTACTTTTTGTTAATTGTTAAGTTAATTAATTTATTAATTATTAATTAAATTTAATTAGGTTTAAATTAGGGTTAATTTGATTTAAGTTAAAATTTAATTAGGTTTGAATTATAATTAACTAGGTTAATTCTATTTAGGTTTAATTAATTAATAAGGTTCATTTTGATTTATTGGTTAACTTTTAATTTTATTTATATTGAAAATTGTTTATTAATTGTTAGTTAAATTTAATTAGGTTTGAATTAGGGTTAATTTGATTTAGGTTTAAATTTAATTAGATTTAAATTATAACTAATTAGGTTAATTTAATTTAGGTCTAACTAATTAATTAGGTTAATTTTGATTAATTGGTTGATTTTTTTATTTATATTAAAAAAATTTAATTAATTATTATTTAAATTTAATTAGGTTTGAATTGGATTTAATTTTATTTAGGTGTAAATTTAATTAGATTTGAATTAGAATTAATCTAGTTCGTTTGATTTAGTTTTAATTAATTAGATTAGATTAATTTTATTAATTTATTTTTAATGTTATTTATATTGAAAATTTTTAATTAATTGTTACTTAAAATTTATTTAGACTTGAATCGGGGTACATTAATTTGATTTAGGTTTAAATTTAATTTGATTTGAATTAAAATTAATTATGTTAATTTGATTTAGGTTTTAATTAATTAACTTGGATAATTTTGACCATTTGATTGATTTTAATTTTATTTATATTGGAAATTTTTAATTAATTATTACTTAAATTTATTTAGGTTTGAATCAAGGTATGTTAATTTGATTTAAATTTAAATTTAATTAGATTTGAATTAGAATTAATTTTGTTAATTTGATTTAGGTTTAATTAATTAACTAGGTTAATTTTGATTAATTGTTTGATTTTTAATTTTATTTATATTGGAAATTGTTAATTAATTAGGTTGAATTATATTTAATTAAGTTAATTTGATTTGGTTTTAAATTTAATTAGATTTGAATTAGATTAATTAGGTTAATTTGAATTAGGGTTAAATTAATTAGGTTAGTTATGGTTAATTTGTTCATTTTTACTTTTATTTATATTTCAATTAGTTAAGTGATTGTTATTTAAAATTAAATTAGATTTGAATTTAAGTTAATTTAATTATTTTGTATATAATTATTGAAGTGGGTTGAAATACAATGTAGTGTATTGAACCCGAAGGGTCGGAGACCTTGGGAATTTAGGAGAAATAAGCTTGGTTCAATATGATGCAATGGAGATGAGAGGATGAGTTTGAGATTTAATTTTGATGGAGATTCTAAGACAAGTATCGATTTCGATGTGTGCAAATTGATTGTTGATTGATTTAATTTTAATATTTGTATGATCATTTAAAGTATTTATTAATTGGAAAAGATGTAATTTACGAGGGAGAATCTATCAAAATTTTGTTAGATGTTTAAGAAAATTGTTAATTAAATAATTATGTATTGCCTCGAAATGGAGAAACAAAATAATGAGGTTTGATCGTACATGGATATATGTTACGTATATCAATGAGTATTTAAATGATAAGTTCATGAATTAGGTTGAAACATTTACAGCATTTAGTGTTACTCATCCCGAATGTATGGATGGAAAAAAATTAAGGTATCATTGCAATCATAATAAGTATCGATATAAAAATTTTGAAGATATTCACATGGTTATGTACAATTTTCATGCAAGTATTTACCTTGGATATAATGATTGGGTACACTATGAGAAAATTGACTCAAGAAATTTTTTTGTGTTGGAAAATTTTCATGCGGTTGAAGGAAGTTATAGTGAACCTCCCAATACTTATGAAACAATGGTGATGGATGCCACAAGTCCATCATTTAATAAGTTTAGCATAGATGAGGTGTTAAATCTTGACACACAAACTTTATATGACATGTTGAATGAAACGAATAAAGAGATTTGACCCGGTTGTGACAATCATTTACGATTATATGTAGTTGTGTGATTGTTAAATTTTAAATCAGAACATCATTTTTTTGAAAGGTGTTATGAAGAGATATGTGAGCTAATGAAGGAGTTGTTGTCTGTTGATAATTGTATGATAGATAACTTTTATAGCACTAAAAAGTTGGTGAAGTTAATAGGTTTACTAGTTGAAAGATTCATTGGTGTAACAAAAGCTACATGATTTATTGGGATAAAGATAGTAAATTAACTACTTAAAAGTTTTGTGAACATCCTCGATATCAAAGTTCTAGATGAGAATTGGTAAGAGCAAAACATGTCCATAGAAAAAATGTACTACTTTTTGCTCACCTCGCTTTTGCAAAGATTGTATATGTCGAATGCCATAATTAAGCACATGGCATGCATGTCCAAGCATGAGGTTAGGGATGTAGGACTCATGCATCATTACTCCGACTCTATTACATGATGGTATTTCAATCAAAGATGTCTTTATTTTGCATTAGAAAGAAGGAATGTCGGATTAGGAGTTGACACCGATGGGTTTTTAACCTTTTTATTAATCCGGTGCTCAATATTCTTTTTAAATGATAATTATGATGCTTTACAATTTGCCACCATAGATGTGTATGAAGAAAGAATATATGTTATTAACAAGGATTGTTCTAGGACTAATAAAACCAAGCATAATTAGATTTGTTCTTACAACCTTTGAATGTAGAGGTGCTTCATTTGTATGAAGTGGATGTGGTGGCCTATGATATGTATTGGAAGCAGAATTTTTTATTACATGCCATAGTGATATAGATATTTAATTAATTTCTAGTATTTTGTATGGTTTGAGTACTATAGAAAAACTTACATGTCCTTATAATATGAAGATGTCTTTCCTAATGAAAGAAAGACCTCATGATTTGATAATCATCGTAAGTTCTTATATAAAGATCATCCATTTAGGAAGCACAAGAAGTCATTTACCAAAAAAAAAAAAAATTATGATGATAACCCTCTAATCCGAGTCTAGACTAGAGATTTTTCAGTAGATAGTAGATTGGGGGTTAATGAAGATGACGAAGAGGGTATA